CATCGGAACACTAGGCCCGCTAGGATTCATGGAAGGCATCGGAAAATATGAGGGATGCGGGGTACTGGGATGCATAATAGGCGCATATCCAGGAGGACTAATAAAGGCCGGCGCAGATATCGGTGGGAATGAAGGAAAATCAGGTGTGGATAGTAATCCGGTGAAAAATCCGCCAGACATGGGTGAAGTCTGCATAGGAGGTGGAGTAGGGGGCACAAGCAATGGAGTAGGATGCACATGACTCGAAAGTGGCATAGAAATAAACATAGACGAATCTGGAACCTCTTCTACAACAAACCTTGTGCGGCGAGCCTTACCCTTACCCTTTTCCTCACTTCGGGGTGGCATTTTTAAACTAAAATATTTCATAAAATGACAAAAAAGTAAATTAATTCAATAAATTACACAAAAGTAAATAATATACATATATATAACAATACATATTACATAGTAGTACTATTATACAATAGTATAATTACATAGTAGTATTATTCATCATTGTAATCGTCACTGTCTTCATCAGATACGATATTGTCGTCTTCAGAGTCTCCTGACTCTTCCTCCTCTTCTTCCACATGATTTGCTGATAACAAGATGGTTGCATCAACTTGTTGACCCACAACCACAGTATCACCCAAACTTGTAATCTCCTCAATTTCAATTACCCCATTCATGGGTGAAATCTCATCATCTTGGTATGCAACATCATCTTCCATTACACCGTCAGATTCAATATAACCCATTGGATTGGACTTGATTACAACACACCATCCTCGTTTACTTGGTTGAATTGACGGATAAGGAACATAGTAAACTTGCCTAACATTATGTGCCATTATGAAAGGGTCATACTCTTTGTACTTTCGATCCATTCGTATCTCAACAGTGTTATATTTTTTATCTATTTTAGTTCCTCTGGAAGATGGATCATACCAATCACAATAAAATAGGACAACTTTATTTTCCGAGTCCATATAATTATATACCAACTCATAAATATGTGTGACAACACCATAAAAGTCGTCCTCACCACCCTCTGTAACTCCTTTTACAACTACACCACTGTTTATTGTTTTCTTCCCTTCTGTCCATGTTTGAGTGTGGAATTTATATCCGTTTACAAAGTAAGTGTGCCATTCATTTGCACGCTGATGAGGGCCTTCAGATAAACTTCTCAAATGAATTATTTCAAGACTTGGTGCAACAATGCAATATAACTGTTGCTTGAACCATGCTGGAAAATAGGCATGTGTGTAACCTGTCGATGGTTGTTCACCCGTGCTTTGAAAATAATAAGTATTAAATGCCCTATTTCAAAGAAGAAAAAATCTATGTTAAATAAGTATATTTAACAAAAAGAAATACAAACTTAATTTAATATACTTACTCAAGATATGGTTTAACTTCAACGCAGTTAATCAACACATGAACATGAGCAGATTGCATTTCTTTTTCGGACAACCAATGCACACTTGTCTTTCCAGAAGGACGACCGGGACGGCCAAAAACCGATAAGGTGAATTGACTTCTTTCACTAAAGTGAACTTCATTCCTTATGATTCTCGGAGTCAACATCATATGATTGAAATAATGTGAGCAAAAATGTGAAGTTTCTCGATGTAAATAATGTGCACATATTGATCCCTCAACTCTCGCCTTATTTTTCACAGATCGCTTTGAATCACCCATGAATCGTTCAAATGGATACATCCATCTATATTGAACAGGTCCACCAAGGTAAGCTTCGTAAGCAAGATGCACAGGGAGATGCTCCATAGAATCAAAGAAACCAGGGGGAAATATTTGCTCTAACTTGCAGAGAATGATGGGAATATTTTTGTCCAACTTAATGATGTCATCCACTCGTAAAGTTGACGCACAAATGTCTTTAAAAAATTGACTAATCTCAATTAGTGGATTAAGAACATGCTTAGGAAGTGAACTGAATGCAATTGGAAGCAATCGTTCCATAAAAACATGACAATCATGACTTTTCATTCCATGCAGCTTTCCTGTTTTTGCATCAGCACATCTTGCTAAGTTAGAAGAATAACCATCGGGCATCCTCAACTCATTTAACCATCGACATACTGCTTTTTCTTCTTGGGGAGTAAGAGTGTAACAAGCCTTGGGTTTTAATAATTTTCTATTTGGTTGGGGTTTTAACTCCAAGTCTTTTCGATTACACAAAAGTTCCAAGTCCTTTCTAGCCTTCTCATTATCTTTTGTCTTGCCTTGGACATCCATCACTGTGTTAAATACATTATCAAAAAAATTCTTCTCAATATGCATAACATCAAGATTATGTCGCAACAAATTATCCTTCCAATATGGGAGGTCCCAAAAAATACTTCTTTTTGTCCAATTGTGAGTATCCCCATATCCTGGAATTCTGCATGTTTTACCATTATCTGTGAATTTTGGCAGGTCACTAACACTATTCCATACTTCAGTCGATGACAGTCGAGGGGGAGGAAGATCTGTTACTTTTATTCCTTTTCTAAAAGCATTCTTATGTTTTCTAAAAACATGGTTCTTAGGTAAGAATCTACGGTGACAGTCAAACCATGAACTTTTACTACCCATTTGCAAAGTAAACGCTTTTGTGTGTCCCATGCAATGTGGACATCCCATTTTGCCATGCGTACCCCAACCAGACAACATGCCATATGCAGGAAAGTCATTAATTGTCCACATCAAAGCAGCTCGCATATTAAAGTTTTGTCTGCGAGACACATCATAAGTCCATTCTCCAATCCACAACCTCTTCAAATCATCAATTAAAGGTTGCAAATAAACATCTATTCCCGCTTTTGGACTCGACGGTCCTGGAATGAGGCATGTCAAAAACATGTAAGGTTTCGTCATGCACATCTCAGGAGGGATATTGTATGGGGTAACAATAACTGGCCAACAAGAATAGGCAATTGCTGACGATTGGATATAAGGAGTAAAACCATCTGAGCATAACCCGAGCCTGACATTTCTGGGTTCTGCTGCAAAATCTGTATGTACTCTATCAAAGTGTTTCTATGCCTCGCCATCAGATGGATGTCGCATCATGCCTGAACTATTGGAATTTGTATGATGCCATGTCATTTGGCTTGCACTATGAATTGACGCAAACATCCTTTGCAATCTAGGAATTATTGGCAGATAGAACATGGATTTCACTGCAACTCGTTTTTGTTTTTGATCAACACCTTTACTGTGAACTAAATACCTCGGACTCTGACAAAACTTACATTCCTCCAATCCCCCATCATTTGTACCAAACTCGTTATCATAAAATAACATACAACCTCCAATGCAACAATCAATCTTTTTCACTTTTAGTCCCAACTTCGACACCATTCTCTTTTCATCATAATAACTTTTAGGCATATTTTCTTTCACAGGAGTCGCATCCAACATCATTTTTGCAAAGAATTCTAAACACTGATCAGGAACATTCCAATTTGACTTCGCGGCCAAGAGTCTCACACACATGGATAACATGGAGTCAGAAGACCCCTCAAACAGTGGTATATTTATTTCTTTCAACAGTTGATAAAACTTTTGCGCTTCCTCATTCGGGAGCTCATCTGCATCAAAATCTTGAGGTTCATCATAAGTCACATTCACCCCTAATGCATCACCAACCATATCATCTATGAGATTAAATTGTTCATGGTCTTGCAAATGTGATTGACTGCTTGATGTCTCTCTGCCTATCTCAACTCCAATACGTGTTTGACTGCTTGCAACCTCTCTATTCATCTCTGGCAGTATTTCTCCATTAGAATACCACACCCAATAATTTGGCCTAAAACCATCTTTCTCTAAGTGTCGTTTCACTTCATTTGGGTCACTAATTATATTTCTGCAACCACACTTTAAACACGGACATCTTACCCCTCCTTCGCTTCGACAACAGTCTTGAGCAAACGCATAAGTAAGAAACGCAACAACTCCTTCTTTAAAATGTGGTTTAAGCCCACGTCTTCCTGGATACGTTCTATCATACATCCAACTACGATAGAACTGGTAATATTCCATACTGCACATGTATAAGGTTGTTCATGTTTAAATTTATATTTAAGAAAAGGGGAATTGATCTACCTACAAACTTATGACTTTACCTACCTAATATATACCATATTATGTTTCTACGAATTTACATGCTTTATAACATTTTAACTTACAAATTATATAATTATATGTTTCTACAAATATTATCTACGTAATATGTTATTAAAAATTATATTAATATTTTAGAAAATGTATATATTACAAATTATATACTTTATATAAAAAGTTTGTATATGTAACTTAAATATATTATAAATTATATTTTTTTATGATTTAACTCATACTTTTTAAATAAAAGTGTATATTGATATATATATATATATAATCTAGTTTCTATTATAAAAAAATATATAATATGTTTTCAAATTTAAATAAATAAATATTCTGTTTTTAAAAATAATATATAATATGTTTTAATATTCTGTTTTAAATATGTTTATAAATAAATAAATATTCTATTTTAAATAAATATTATGTTTTAAATAAACAATATATAATATAAATCTGTTTTATATTCTGTTTAATATTTAATATAACATAAATAAATAATATTCTGTTCTAATATAATATACTATAAATATTCTGTTTTAAATATTATGTTTTATATAATATAAATAATATATTCTGTTTAATTATATAATCTATTTAATATTTAATAAATAAACATTCTGTTTTATATAAATAAATCATAAATAATATATAATATTCTGCTTTAAATAAATATACAGTTTTAATTACTAAATATTCTGTTTTAAATAAATAAATATTCTATTTTAAATAAATAATATATAATACAAATCTGTTTTATAATATTTTGTTTATAATATGTTTATAAATATGTTTATAATATATGTTTTAAATGTGGTTATAATATAAATCTTAATATCTTTTATAATATATATATAATATTAATATTTTAATTAAAATTTATTTTATAATCTAAATATTAAAATCTGTCATGTAAAACTATACATAAATATGTTATTAGAAAATGTATTACAAATTATATTAATATTTTAGAAAATGTATATATTACAAATTATATACTTTATATAAAAAGTTTGTATATGTAACTTAAATATATTATAAATTATATATTTTTATGATTTAACTCATATTTTTTAAATAAAAGTGTATATTGATATGTATAATCTATTCTTTTATAAAAAAATATATAATATGTTTCCAAATTTAAATAAATAAATATTCTGTTTTTAAAAATAATATATAATATGTTTTAATATTCTGTTTTAAATATGTTTATAAATAAATAAATATTCTATTTTAAATAAATATTATGTTTTAAATAAACAATATATAATATAAATCTGTTTTATATTCTGTTTAATATTTAATATAATATAAATAAATAATATTCTGTTCTAATATAATATAATATAAATATTCTATTTTAAATATTATGTTTTATATAATATAAATAATATATTCTGTTTAATTATATAATCTATTTAATATTTAATAAATAAACATTCTGTTTTATGTAAATAAATATACAGTTTTATATAATATTCTGTTTTAATATACAGTTTTAATAAATAAATAAATCATAAATAATATATAATATTCTGCTTTAAATAAATATACAGTTTTAAATATTAATATTCTGTTTTAAATAAATAATATATAATAAAAATCTGTTTTATAATAATTTGTTTATAAATATGTTTATAATATATGTTTTAAATGTGTTTATAATATAAATCTTAATATGTTTTATATTATAACAGATAAATATGTTTTAAATAATATATATATAATATTAATATTTTAATTAAAATTTATTTTATAATCTAAATATTAAAATCTGTTATGTAAAACTATACATAAATATGTTATGTAAAAATTTATTTTATCAACAGCCACCACACACATAATTTTTGAAATAGATATTCATCTAAAATTTTAAAAAATAACAAAAGTGTGTACCTTTTGATCTTCTTCCTTGTTGCTGGTTCCTCTTTACAAAAACTTGATAACTTCTTTTATTCACAGTACATACAACAAACAAATAAATAAATAAAATTAATTAATAAATCTAAATAATAAAATAAACTATAAATACGAAAATAATAAACATAAATAAAATAACTTACTTTTATAAATGTTGAAAGATGAAGGAGGAAGAAGAAGATAAGAAAATCTGAGAATAAAATGGGAAAGAAGAGGAATGAAATGGGAAAGAAGAAGAATGAAATGGGAAAGAAGATTTAATGTGGGAGGAGAAATGGAGAAGACAGAGAGAGGAATGGGTGGGCTGCGAAATAAATTCAGAATTTAATGTTGTAGTTTGCGAGGGGATACTCCACGCAATGCTCAACGGTCACATGACGTGTCAGCATTTGCGAGGGGCTACTCCACGCAACATACTCACATGCAATTTGCGAAGGGGATCCCCTAGCCACGTTTTGCGTGTGGCAGACCATTGTGCAGAGTGATGCAGAGGAATAATTGCTTTTTCAGTGGGATTTGACTAAAGTAGGGCATTTAGTGAGGGGCCGCCCCTCGCAAAATGGGAACGTAACATGGTGAGGGGCTACCCCCTTGCAAATTGATCAGCCTTTCCACCAAAAAATGCGTTGAACCCTAGTAAAAGTGCATTTCAAAATTCAAAAATTTTTCCCTCCTTCATTGCGAGGGGTATCCCCTAGCTAAATGTTTATATTTTTTTCTCCCCTATTTTACAGTTTGCGAGGGGTTTAACCCCAAGCAAATGGTTTTATTTTAGTGAGGGGTTTTCCCCCTAACCCATGCCCCTAGCTAATTCAATGATTTCTTGTAGTGGTAATAATAAGACATGCAATGTTTATGGTATTAGTACAGTCATATTTAAAATGTTTAATGATCATAAACTTCTTATTCACAATGTGAAGTATGTTCCAAAACTCAAGCAAATGTTTTTATCTATAAGTATGTTTGATGACCTAGGCTATTATACTAGAGTTGAACGTGGAGCGTTGAAGATTTCGCGTGATGAATTGATTATTGCTAAAGGGTCTAAAATATGTTGTCTATATATTTTAGAAGGTTCAAATGTTATTATTCATTCATCGTTAACTAGTGGAGACTTTCGTGACAAGGAAGAGCTATGGGATTTGAGTTTAAGGCGTTATAAATTCCTTGAGAAAGTTTCAGAGGAGTACAATGAATTTTGTAGAAATCAAGGGATAAAAATGCATGTTACCGCTGAGTTGTTATTAAGTTTTTGGGGAAGAGTTGAGGTTAAAACAACTTACTTGGTTGGTAGATAATTTCTTCAGAAGAAGAATAGTGAAAACCAAGGGAGAAACTATAACAGAGAAAACTCAGTTTGAGGTGGAGTTTCCTACTATGGATGCTAGCATTAGTGAGGGAACAGTTACAGAGATCTCTGATTATCATTTGACTCATGATAAGGTACGAAAGGTTATTATAGCATCTCAAAGGGAGGGTGATGCAAGTCTTGGATATTATGTTTTAATGTGGCTGAAGTACAGCAAAATAAAAGAAGAAAAACCTTCAGGGAGACATTTGAAAACAGGCGGAGTCAAGGGTGGTTGAAAAATCATACTTGTAGGCTTGTTAAATTACCTAGGAAGGAAAGGGTAATTGAGAACAAGTGGATGCAAGTTGCAAGATCAAGATTCAAGTGTTGCTTGAATTTGATCAAAGCTATTGATTAAAGTTTCAACTTGGTAGAGAGCGACAATGTTGTTGATTGGTATCAACATGGTTTAAAGTCAAGGTGGAGATTGTTGTAAATGTGCCTTAAAACCTTTGTTGATGAAGAGAAAGAAAACATATTTTAGAGATTTTATTTATCACGAAAATCAGAAGTTTTAGAAAGTCAAATGAAAAGTCGAGAAAAGAAATCAGTCGGTGAATAGTGTCGTCCGTACGGTGAATAGTGTTATCCATACGGATGAATAGCAACGTCCGTACGGTGAATAGTATTGTCGTACGGTGAATAATATTTTCGAGTTTTCAGGATTTTTCGATTTGGTCCATGGACCCATGTGATTTTGGACTTTGCTTGTTGGGTATTTGTTATTATAAATATGTATCTCTTATATGCTTGGTGTGTGATAATCTTAGAGTTTACACCAACAAGGGAGAGCAAGGGTTTAAAGGCATAGCATAGCGTTTCAGCTATGCACGAAGAAAACCTTGGATTACACCTTAGGTTTGAGTGATTCATATATTGAGAGTTGGAGAGGTAGGGAAACACTTGGGTAGAAAATAAGGTTGTTTTTGGGCGCCTTCAGGGTCGTTCTTGGGAATCTGAAGGCGAAGGCTATTTTCTTGTAACTCATCTGTAATCTCTTGTAAAAACTTTTGAGTATAGTGAATTGGAGATCTGTTCTCTCCCCAATAGTAGATCATTTGATTGATCTGGGTAAACAAACCTTTGGTTTTTTCTTATCTTATTCTGTTATATTATTTGTGTACGGATTATTACTGCTGAAGACCATTTATTTTGGTTGCTATTGTTCTTTGCCTCACAAATTGATATTGAATTTTTTCGTAATTTACAACAAGATTCACAACAGTTGAAAAGGAATTGAAAGAACTTGAAATATTTGAGAGATTTTAACCATAAAACAGCGTGAGAAGAGTGACGAGTTACAGGATGATTCAAAATCATAATCAATGTAAGTTGTTCTTCAAACATGACACAATTGTTCATATAATTATTTTCCTAACCAATTTTTAGAAGTTATATGTTCAGTTTCGGGTTTAGTGAAATAAGCAATCCACATTAGATTTAATGAACTCAAAATTGTTTTACCTATCGATTTTATTAGATAACCGAGGTAAAAATATGGTATATCCGTCGGTGAAAGTGCAAAAGTGATGGGACATGTGTTTTCGCCGTTTCAGAATTCCAAAAAGGTCTTCTTAAGGATCCAACCTATGACCATTTCACATACCCGTCGGTTATTTTAAAACTGAGAGGTCAAGTGTGAACT